AAAAAAAAAAAATTTTTTTTTGAGACAGGGTCTTATTATATAGTTTAGTCTGGTCTTGAACTCATAGCAGTCCTCCTACCTCAACCTCCCGAGTGCTAGGATTATGGGCATGAGCCACTATGCCTGGCTCACAAAATTTAAAATTTTTTAAAAAGGGATTGGGGGACTAGTTCAGTGACAAGGCCCTGGGTTCAGTCCCCAATACTGGGGAAAACAATTGATTTAATACATAACATCATTGTAGCTCATAAATCATGCTACTGTAGTAGATCTACCAACTAACATATGATCACCAATAAGTTGGAACTAGCTAATATATTCTTTTCCCTTGTCCCCAAGACTTGTCTTTCTACTCAGATAATAAAAAATAACTATTTTGAATTTTATGCCATCATCCCTTGTTTATTCATATGTCTGAATAATACATTTAGGTTGGTTTTTGAGCTTTATAAAAATTATGTCAGTTTATATTTCTAAAATTTATTTATACTGTGAAAATAATTATTCCTTTTTAGTGCAGTATAATAGTCTGTGGTGTGAATATACACTTTATTTTCTTACTGATTGACATTTAGTTTGAGAAATAGTGATGCTGTTATAAACAATTCATAGTCTGTATGTGTCTTCTTGATTTTCTTTCTCCCTAGTACTGGGGACTGAACCCAGGTCCTCACACAGCACTCCACCACTGGCTACTTCTCCCCCCCGCATACGCTCTATCTGCACCCCTTTTGGGACAGGCTCTCCCTAAGTTACCTAAGCTGGCCCAAATTTATGATCCTCCTGCCTTGTGCACCACCAAACGTGGCTTTATTCTTTTAACTGTATTGAAGTTAAAAATGTATTTCCATGGGTTTTACTTGGACATTGTGTGTAGATGAGATGTACAAGAGTTGGCACAGTCTAGTCTTTTATGAAATTTCCTTTCTTAAAAAAAGGAATTGACTTTAAAAGTGAGACCCTTTTACAACTTGAAATTTAGGGGATTATACAGCCTTCCTGACACATTTTCATACATTCATTTATAAGATGACATAAATGTCACAGTCACGTCATCTTCACAGCTGCAATTCTGAATGAGTCTCCATAGTCAACTTCATAGGCATAAAAAAAATCTTTGGTTTTTCTCAAAATGGTCTCATTTTAGCAGCATCAGTTGCAGAGGAAAACAATTCCATTCTAAGCTAAAAGTTTGGGCTCTGAAGACTCATTTGTGAATGCCATTTAAAATTTATTTTTAATTAAGCGTATTTAATGTTGGTAAGAGGTGCCAGACATTGAGAGCTCTGGAGACTGCAGGCATCTATATATCTGCAGAACAAGCCTGGCTCAGACAGAAAAGGTACATTCGCCTTCCTGCTGTGTTCCTGTCTGTGTCCAGAGAGAGAAACGGCCCCACTGAGAGGTGCCACAGTCTTTGGGCCCCACTCATTACCAAGCATGTATCTCGCCAGCAGAAGGTCCACTGCTGACCATAGTTTATGTGAAACTCAGCTCAGCTTTTGCCAATTCATTTTACCCAGTCTACTAAATTGCCATCAAGTGTTAATGACTTTGGGCTCCTGTCAGCCTGGCTTAATTCAGGCTAGAAACACAGTGCCAAAAGCATTCTCCATTCCCTTCATTGGCCTTCTCCAGAGATTCCTGCCTTTTCCTACGAGAAAGTTGGATTTAATTGATGTTTTCCTTTTCCTTTTACTCCCCTGCATCCCCTTTTGATCAGTATTTTAGAGCTGTAACTAGCAACGGGCAGTGCTACTTTTGGTGTTAATGTTATATCAAAAGAAGCGAAGGTATTAATGTGAGAACATGGCTGAGTCAAATTAGAAGTCTTACAGAGGACAAGAGAATCTCTGTGGGGTGATTTGTGCTGGATCCTGGGCTATTAAAATAATGTTGTAATCTGCCTCTGATAAATGTGCTACTAATGCTCAGCACATTCATAATTGATTAACTTGGCTGCTTCCTTGCTGAAGATCGTAACAGCTAGTTTTAAACAAGTGAGTAAGTTTCTTGACCTGACAGTAAATATCTTACTCTTGCATAGAAGGACTGCAGGTCATTTGGATGGGGCATTAACTGTGCCTTTAGGTTCATGACTACAGCTGAGGGGTGACTTGAAGGTTAAAGGAAGTCTGGGTCATTAAGGTCTTTCTAAACTTACTTTCTCATCTGACTTTCAGGAATAGCAAGTATAGGGAGCTCATTGTCAAGGTTTGTGAGCTCTGTTTGTATTGAAGTTTTCTGACCTGATGTGATAGAGGAGATGAAGCAGGGCAGTGGCTATTAGGCAGGCATCCACTTTGCAGGCTTTTACCTTTAATCTAATAACTGACACTTAGTTTATAATATTATGTGATTTTGTTGTTGTTTGTTTGTTTTTCTTCCGGTACCAGGAATCGAACTCACGACCTTGTGCTTGCCAGGCAGGTACTTTGCCACTGAGCTAAATCCCCAGCCCCAATATTATGTGATTTTTTAAATATATCCCTATACTTGGGACCCTAACAACTTTATCTGAGTGTCACTGACCCATCTAGAAATGAGCTTGCTTTCTCTCTGGACTGAATAGTCTGTTCTGCTGCTGCCGCTGCTACCGAAGCCGTAGTGGGAGTTGGATCCCTGTACTAACCTAGCATCGCCATTCTGTTCCAGAGCTCTAAGTGCACACAGAGCTGTGGCCAGCCATCTCGCCGGTCATTGTCACAGATAACTTACATGTGTAAAGTAAGGGTGTCTGCACCCTGCTATAGCCTTCTAGAAAGATCTTCCAAGCCCAGTCCTCACTGGTGGTAGGTCAGTGATATCATGTTCGTGAAACTGACATTCTTCAGGGAGAGCACTTATTTTACCAGGCCGCCACAGGCTGCACTTCAGTTGCACATTCCAGATCTCACTGAAATAAGTGAAGTGCTTTTAGGCTGAGGTTACTAGATTCTTTTCTCTACAGCGTTTTAGTGGTATGTTTATAAGGGTTCTTTGTATTTAGCTTTCTGTCTAAGGTAGAATAAGATAAATACTTGAGGTTTAGCATTTGTTTCTGTCAGATTCCCCCCAGTGGCTTTGCCAGATTTGTAGTGCAGGGGAGGTGGAACTTAATAAAAACGGGAGAAAGATCTGTGGGGCATTCTTGCCATTGTCCTGAAAAGGTGGGAAAGAAGTATGAATGTGATAAATAGGAAATTACTTGCTTCAAAGGATAAAGCCTGATTTGTAGAAGTGGTTTCAAGAGAATGTGTATCTGAATGTTCTGTAGCATTGAGGAAAAAGTCATCTATCACCTGCTGGGAGGAAAATTCCTGGTATCAAAAGCTTTGGGTTATTTCCCTGTATTTCACAGGTGAGTGTGGTACAAGATTCTGTCAACATTTCTGGCCAGAATACCATGAACATGGTGAAGGTTCCCGAGTGCCGGTTGGCAGATGAGCTAGGAGGGCTGTGGGAGAATTCCCGGTTCACAGACTGCTGCTTGTGTGTTGCTGGCCAGGAGTTCCAAGCTCACAAAGCGATCTTAGCAGGTAGGTATTTCTTCTTGGGTCACTGTATAATTTTAGTGAAACAAGAAAAGCCAGAGGCTGCATAATTACCTTTTGTACAACTTCAGGTTTTTTAACTCAGCTGCACACACATGAAATCCTGCAACTAAGTGTACCTTTATATTATGGTGACATTAGGGCTGCTCTCCATAAGAATGTATTTCTGGTTTTCTTCTCTTAAGCCACCATTTCAAGGAATAGATGCCGATTTCCAACGTTCTAAGATCCTTTACACGTAGAGAGTAGATGCCAGTGCGCCTGTGAACAGGAACTTTGAACATAGGGAGCAGATCTTGGACTTGGGGCTGCATACCATCCAGCCGAGTCCCCAGCCCCCTTCTGTGGTAGAAACGCAGAAGAACAAGACTGTTGCCACTGGCACAGAGGGTCGGGTCTCAGTCTGTACAGACAGAAAGACTGTTGCAGAGGCGAAGCTGATGAGCAAGGACTGATTTGAGCTCACAGGAAAAGGTAGCAGATGGCAGACCCTAATAATACTCAGCATGCTTCCTACCAAGACCCTCAGCTTCAGACTCCTGAAGTCCACACCTGGCAAAGCACAGCCTCGCTCATCTGCCACCTTCCCATTCCCCGTCTCAGCTAGATGCCAGCGTAGGTACTGAGGAAGCCCTGTTCAGTGAGCGTCTGCGTGCTTAGCGAGGCTCTCGGCACTGCCAGCGCTTCATTCCACAGACAGAGTCGGCATTTTTCTTTCTCTCTGCAGTAGAGACTCGGGTTTCAGCCACTCTCCTTCAGCCTCTCCTCTCTCCTAAAAGATCCCCTTGCCTACTTCCTCCAAGACAGCCTCGAGGCCCTGACTCTTGCCTCCTGCCACACTGCATTTGCACTGGAGGAGCTCTTCCTTGCACACTGAGCAGAGTGTGTCTGCTTCTGTCCTGTTCACATCCCATCCTGCTTTTCCAGAAACCTTCCTCCAGCAGTTCCTCTTCTGTGCACTCGCTCTGTCTCTCCTGAGCTAAATTTCTTGAGCTAGCACATTCACGCTACTTCTTTCCTCCCACTTATCCTCAGTTCACCTCCATGCTCCAAAAGCGGTTTTCCAAAGTTACATATATGACCTGCTAGTTTTTAAATTTGAGAGACTCTTTAGTTCATGTATTACTTGATTCCTCTCTCTGGTCTTCTCCTACTCCTCTGGCTACTTCTAACGTGTGGCCTGCCTCTCCCTTCATTCGTCTGTTAAAACACAGGTGAGCACCTGTGTTGTCACTGGGCGATTTTATTTATTCCCATCACATCAGCTGCTGTCTACCCACTGGGGACCCTCTGAGACATACTTGCTGCTGTAGGCCCTTCCCTGTCTATTCAAAAGCATTCAGTCTTCAAATTGGTACCATATGTTTAGTACCTTATAGTCTGTAACTCTTCTAAGAACACTGAGAATTAATATCCTTTTGGTATAGATTAAAATATTGACGTTCGGAGGGTTACGTGATTTGCCCAAGAATATGTTTAGGAAATGGCAGAGCTAAAATTAGTTCTTTCTGACATAAACTATAGGCCAAAAGGTCCAGTTCCCGGCTGCACATAGCCCTCCTACATGGTCCATCTGTTCTTCCAGGCTTAGATAGTGGTTGGTAGTCTCCACTTTGACCCAGACCCCCAATTTATTCAACAACACGAACAAATTTGTGTTCTTAGCCATTTTATTACTTTTTATGTTTGAAATTAAGTTTACTTATTTTTCGTGGTGTTCATTAGACTAGAATGTGCCTAGGTTAGAAGACCTGGTCTCGACGTTTTTTTCATTATCTCTATCACTAAGGAGAAAAACTAAATTTAAATTATCCCTAATGAGAGAAATTAAATAGTAAGGAAAATGACTTTATCAGGTAGAATGAGCTTTGCAGAGTCACAAACTATTGTACTGTCTAAGGCTTTTCCCCCTCTGGGGTGGTAACATCTCTATTAAGAGTGCACAGCTTGATCTGGTCACTACCTGCCAGCAAGCTCATGTTTGGGGCTTTTTGCTGTGTGGTCCATAGCAATGGAGAAAACACGATGCTGTTCCAGCCAAAACCCTGGATATTAGGACACTGCTTAGACTGTGAGGACCATTCCATTTGAACCCCAGAAGACTTAGCATACTCAAGGTCTCTAGATGACGATACAGCCATTAGCTCCACTCCAACCATCCTTAAAACATGGGTGGTTGGAGTAGAGCTAATAAATCATTTTGAAAGTAATGGCTTTTTCTTTTCCTTTATGTATTATAATTTTTTCTCATTAGTATGATACATGAAGAAAGGAATTTGATAATTCTGGTGTAATCTGAGGCTAAGACCCTGTCCTGTAGCAATAGATGAGGAAGGAAATGATCTCTTAGTCGTAACTGAGGAGAACCAACAGTTTCCCATGTGATAGCCTCACCTCCTTATTTCCCTTTTGTTTTGTAGCTCGTTCTCCAGTTTTTAGTGCCATGTTTGAACATGAAATGGAAGAGAGCAAAAAGGTACGTAATAGGTCAGAGTTGTTTCTGTTTTGCCAGGTGGTTAGAGTGAGATGATTTCCCAGTTTGGCAGCAGATTTATTTTCCTAATTATTTTTTCTTATTGTGGTATTATAACAGTAAAATTTCCCTGACAGACACCTTCTAAGAGCAGAAGAGGTGGTCTGTTAATATTTCAGGTAAAGTAGACTTACTTAATTCCCAGGCAGGTCATCCAGACAATTCTCAGGGAGAGTATTAGACATTTGTTTCTATTTGAAAAAGTGGGGCTGAGGATCGAGCTTGGTGGCACAGGGCCTGCTTGGCAAGCGTGAGGTTGCAAGTTCGCTTCGCGGTACCGAAACGAAAAGGGGAAGGTCGTGCGTGTGATGGGGGACAGGTGTAAGAGTCCAGTAGGGCTGCGGGGACATTTTCTATTCATGTTAGGGTTTTCGGTGATCCAAGCTTCTCTTCCTGCAGGAGCTTAAAATCATGAAAATAGTTTAGGAATTTTGTTCTGTTGCAATATTTCTCATTTTCAGTTTTTCTGGCATAGAATCGAGTTGAAATCAACGATGTGGAGCCTGAAGTTTTTAAGGAAATGATGTGCTTCATTTACACGGGGAAGGCGCCAAACCTCGACAAAATGGCGGATGATTTGCTGGCAGCTGCTGACAAGGTGAAGTAAGGATAGAAAAATAACCGTAGGACTAGGAGTTATTGTGACCTCTTGAATTTTGTGAAAGGGTGTTGCATTGTGGGTAAATGAGTGTATCCTAGTTCAGCCAGGACAATCTGTTTTATGTTTGTTGTTCCAACACAGTTATTAATAGCATCCTTTTTGTTCTCAGAAGTGTCCTGCTTTGAATGATATAGTCACCCTAATGATGGAAAAGAAGGATTAGCTTGATGTTTATTTCTCTTCCTCATCTCATATTTAACCATAATGAGAGTAAAGATTCAAGTAACACCAACATTTGGATTGTGCTTTATTGTTTGCAAGATGTATTTTAACTCATTAACAAACTTTGTCGTTTACCTGGTTCGTATTTTCAGCTTTTGCTAAGTAGTTACTGAAATATACCATAGTTCTTCAAAATTATGACAATTAGTAGTCCTTTGGGGAAAAAGAGATACTGAATTTGTCCAAGTCAGATATTTGCCTTCTTACTGCAGGATTTCTCAGAACCTGCATCATATCATACACCAAGGGTTTTTTTTTTTTTTTTTTTTTTTTTTTTTTTTTTTTTTTTTTTTTTTTTTTTTTTTTTTTTTTTTACAATTGACTATGTTCTATTTTTAGAATTTCTCCGGTACCGGGAACCGAACTCACGACCTTGCGCTTGCCAGGCAGGCGCTTTTGCCGCTGAGCTAAATCCCCAGCCCCACACCAAGGGTTTTCTAAAAGGGAGTAGGTAGACATCATTTCTGCAATTTAGTTAATCCTGGAATCCTTCTCTCAAGAATCACCACTGAGGATTAGTGGTCCCCAAAACACTCAGTGGAAAACTGACGTTTATTTTGTAGGGACATAGGCCGGAGCTCATGGATGGCCTGTCCAGGCTCTGCGGCCATGGAGACACGAGCCACAAGGCGGGACAGGGTGGTGTTTACCCTGTGGATGCCTTTCTTGTGTGGGAGTGGGGCAGTTGATGTGAGAGTGACCCAGTGCAAAGGAAGGGGCTCTGCAAGAGGGTACCCCCTCTTCCTGTCACAATGCTGCAACTCACCCTGCCAAAAAAAAGTGGGCTCCAACCAAAGGGCACAGAACTATCCTTCCCAGGATTAGCTCAAGGTGATGGTGTCCTGCCTCCCTTCGTGCCTGAGAACAGAACGCTCCTGGGTGTACAGCAGAGGTTTTACCTTTATTGTCAGCTTTTTGGAGCGTTTGTAGAGGACGAGGCATGTGGACCTAATCAGTGCTCCTATGATGATTAGAATAATAACTGTGTCCCTCTCATCCTCTCCTAGTAGTTTATTTGTAGTCAGCGGTGTGCAAAGTCCATACTTTCCAACCTACCGCAGTTCTGACCAGGGGGAGCTTGTTTTCATGAAGATAGTAAGAACATATTGCAAGCTCTAAGAAAGTAGAAGGAGCCAGGCATGGTGGCACACACCTGTAATCCCAGCACTCGGGAGGCTGAGGCAGGAGGATCGTTTCGAATTCAAGGCCAGCCTGGGCTACAAAGTGAACTCAAGGCCAGCCTGAACTGCATCGCGAGACTGTCTAAACAAAGAAAACAAAGTAGAAGGCACAGCCTTGTGCCTGCTTTTCCTACAGTTTATATGGTTCTGTCTGTCCCGCCCTTGATTTTCAATGAGTTGGTCACTTGTGCACATCAGGGATTTATTTATTCTTCTCATCTTCTAGATCCCATTAAGGACAAGTAGTGATTTTTTTTTTAAGGTGTTATAATAAAAATCTTTATTCAGGTTTGGTCAGTACAGGTAAGATATCCCAAGCGCTAACAGAATACAGCAGTTCATAAAAACTGAGTCACTGTGATGCGAATTTCTTCAGCATTCAGTTACCTAAAGAGAAACCCCATAGGTGTGTGGTGGGAAGACTGTAACACTGAAACTGTTGTAGGACTTCATCAGCAAGTCCAGCTTTTAATGGTAAAAACTGCTATACGAGGCAAACTTGGTAGTCATAGATCCACATCTGCCAAGTCTGAATAAGGGTAGAGCAGCACAAGTGAGAAGGCCCGCACACCGCACAGGTTCGTACAGGCGCTGCTGCGTTACACTTACGGGAAGAGTTCCGTGCACAACCCCACGTTAACTCATAAAAGAGACAAGGGAGATTGCAGGACCACATTTAGAAACACTGAGGCCCAAGCCAGGGCCGGGCTTCTGGGTGTCTGGGTTCTCATTCTTGCTGCCGGCCACAGAACCCATCGGCGCCCACTGTAACCACGGCTGGGGATCAGCCTGAATCATCGGGCCGGGGACCAGCTTCCCGCGTGACAGATAAACTTACAGCTGAGAAATACAGCAGTCCAGTCACGGCAGTGCTTGGAATCTATGAATGAGAAGTATCTGAAGGGTGCGTTTTCAAGGTCCATTGAGAATTTCCTGTTAGTCTTTGCTCTAAGCCTATTTGAAAACATTTTTACCTTTACACTTTCCTGTGCATTTTAGGGAAGTAGAGTAAGAAATCTTTCATGGAAGGATCTAAACATCTAGACTTTACCCAGGAGGCTGAAACAGCTTCTTCTGAGCTTTTCAGTCTCCTGGGGACATGTGTAATTAGACCAAAAACAAAACAAAACACGTCGTCCAGGCCTGGGAGACACAATTTCAATCTCTCGGGTAAGTATTGCCATTAGGCAGGTTTTTCAGAAGCATAATTAAGAAAAAAACTTTGTTCCCCAAGGGACAAGAATGGCTACTTTTGTCTAATTATGCAGTAGGGATCCGAGCTATTCACAGTGAACGTCCTTTTAAAAGAATGTGTTAGAAAGGATAAGAGGAATAGTCTGTGCGGTGCTGTATAAAGAGGGAACACTGACACAACCTTTTGCAGCCTTTTAAAACAAAAAACAGCAACCTCATCTCTTGCCTGTCTAGAGTCATTCCTGTGTTCCATGGAAACTGTTTTCCAGTTACTCAAATGTAAAAAACTAAAGCTGCACCAAAACCAATAAAACTCTCTTTTGGCTGCAGGAGATCCCAGTGCCGGCAGAAATGCCTCCTCTCCCAGAGCTCATAGCGATCACGATGTCCTGGTGTGAGTGCCGGGCCTCGGCCTGCAGGGCCCCACGTCATGGCGTTCTGAGGCCCTCACGGTGCGGTCTGGGAGGGGGCTGTGGATAGCCTCAGAGCAAACTGCTCTCCTGTGAACTGATGAATGACATTTTTATTTTGTGCTGCCTTTTATTTCCTTCCTCTTCCTTAGCCCTGAAGTTCCTTAGTAAGTTCATCGTCTCATATTAGAGAGCAAGTAGTAGCATGACATCAAACCCAGTCAGTTAAATCGAATGCGCCTAGCATTAACCTAGACTTTCTGTTTCCAGCACATCTTTGCCCTTCCCTTAGAAAATAGAAGTTACATAAACTGGATTCCAAGGTCTCTGGTGCTTTATTGTTTTACCCCCAGAATCTTAACCTTCACCCCAGTAAAACAGGGTGTTATTTATCTTTGCCTACTGGAAAGGAGGCCCTTAGTCAACCTCATGCAGGAACACGAGTGGCAGAGATGCTGGTGAAATTCACCGCAGCTCCTTTTCAGCACCTGTTGGGCCCACTGGGATACCCTGCCGGGCTAGTGACAGTGCTCAAGTAGAAAGGACTGTGCTTCACCCTAGTCACTCTTCATAAAAGGGTTGCAGAAAGCTTAACTATAATGCTCTGTCTGCCTCAGCAGGCCATGCCACTCCGTAAGGGTAAGTGGTGATGGTTTAAGAAAGACTGTAGTCATAGCAGATGCGAAAGCTTTAAGGTGGACTTCTGCTGTGTAACTGTCATTTTCCTAATGTGTAGACTTGAGAGTTTGAATGGCAGCTACCTAGGTTATTTTAGCTGCCTTCACTTCAAGCTTAAACAGCTATCTTCAGAGACTGGTTATGTTTTATAATCACAGTAGTAGCTTCTCATGCTCTGTGTAGTTCTGGTCCAGTTACACAATGGTACCACTAAAGAAAACAGTTTCGGTCACAGTCTACCCCAAACCACTGGCCTTCTGACACAGCGGGCTCCTGTCTTCCAGTATGCCCTGGAGCGCCTGAAGGTCATGTGTGAGGACGCCCTCTGTAGCAACCTCTCCGTGGAGAACGCCGCGGAGATCCTCATCCTGGCTGACCTCCACAGCGCAGACCAGCTGAAAACTCAGGCAGTGGATTTCATCAACTAGTGAGTTGCATCTTCAAAGTTGCTCTCTCAGAATAATTGGAGTAGCTAAAGAAAGGAGAAACACTTTGAATTAGTGAGACAGGCGAGTGGCTTCATTAACCTTTTGGTAGTAAGTATGGAGGTTTCATCTTTTTCTTCCTCTTGACGGTGTAGAAAATGGTTTCTTTTTCGTGGTGGGTGAAGTGTTGTGCTTCAAGTGGTGATCAGAATTGATGAAAATGGTAACTTGCTGTCCTGACAAGGCTGTGTCCCCCAGACGATGGTATCTTTACTTTACTTGCACTGTCTTCTTAAAGGACACAGAGATTTCTTGGAAAATAGAAGTCAATTTTTAAAATGTAATGAGCTTGTAAAACATATCTGACAGCTTGTGGTGCAATGCAGAAAGAAACAGGGTGATTGGAAGCTGAGACTGTTAAGTATTGCGTTTTGAGAAAAAAGCTCTCTGCCAGATCTGTGCCTTTACCCTGAGTGACAGGTGACCTGGCCTTAGTACTCTGAAATCCCACGAAGGGGCCCAAACAGGTGGTGACCACGCCCATCTTCCCGCGGAGTGTTCTCTGCCTTGGCTGGCGGGAGCAGAAGGTGGGGAAACCAGCAGCTAAACACGTCTTCTTAACAGCAGCTCTGGGCTAAGACAGGTCTAAGACGTTTCAGGTGAATGAGTAAACAGTACTTCACACGGAAAACACCCAAAGCCAGGAGCGGACGTCCTCAAGGTATGAGGTGATTTCTAAGCAGTTAGCAGGTGAGGCAGAAGAGGGATGGCAGGAACTGGTCCTTGTTAGCTCTACTAAGTGCCCACTGTGTGCTGGCTGCTTGCTTGGTGCTTTTTGGAAATAACCACTGCAGGAAGAATGCTGGGAAGGCCCTCTTTTTTGACACTCAAGTAGGTGCCAGGTGATGACCCAGGCTGAGGTTAGAAGACTGACAAATGGCCAAGGCGGGTAGGAGCTCAGAGCTGTCTGACCCAGGAGCCCTGGCTCCTCCTCGTTAGCACCACCAGTGAGAGTGAAGAGCACTGGTAACATTGAGAAGAACCCAAGGAACATTCCAGTTTTCACTATGGAGAGTACGGTGGCTCAAAAGTCCTGGTCTTCAGAATTACAGCAGCCGTGGCCCAGGCACCAACTTCTGCCCTCGAAGGGTTCTCAGTGTTTCTTGCATGAACATCCTTCACGCCAGGCCCTGGGAAGTTAGGCTGCCCGGGTGACTATCCAGTCCATCTTCTGCTCACTTTTCTCTCTCCACTTTCCTCCTAGTCATGCTTCGGACGTCCTGGAGACCTCCGGGTGGAAGTCCATGGTGGTGTCACACCCTCACTTGGTGGCCGAAGCCTACCGCTCTCTGGCTTCGGCACAGTGCCCTTTCCTGGGGCCCCCACGAAAGCGCCTGAAGCAGTCCTAAGACCCCACGTGTTGTAAGACTCCATTTATTTTCCAAAAGCAGCGGCCACTCTTGCTGCCACTGAACACCAGGCAGACAGCGCAATCTATGGAGCTTTCACTGTTGTGGGGAAAGACTGCATCGTGCTCCAGACTGTAAATGGCACTAAATAACTTAGGGGACAGGGAGGGAAGGGCCCCAGGACTCGGGGCTGCTGGACCGGAGGAGAGCCCTGTGCTGCATCTCCGTGCTCCCTGCGGCCTGGCCCCCTCTGACACCGGGGTGCAGTTTCAGCACCGGCCCAGCACACAGCCCAGCGGTGGTACTGCGAGAAACTGCCTGCTCTGACAGAGCAGACCCATCGTCAGGTGCCTGGAGCAAACGGAGGGAAAAAGAAAAGATGCTTCGTTTTAAGAGAAAGGAGAAGAAAAAAAAGAAAGGATTTTTGCAGAATCAGTTTGTGGATTCCAGTAGTATTTATGTTGAGAGAAGCAACTTTTAGTCCTTCCGGCCATGCTAGAACTTGGGTGTTTGTGAAGACGCCTCGTCTGAAGACCGCACAAGCACCAGAAGAGCTCTCTCACTGTTAGCACTTACTGCTCACAAGGGCAGGAGACACCCTTTCACCCTGCAGTGAAAAGTGACAGGTGAAGGCGAAGGGGAAGGAGGCTATTTGATCTGGAAGATGAGTTCCAATGGTCATGGCTTTTGCAGAAATCTTTACTGGTATTGAAAACTGGAAAAAATAATTCACCCAGAATTCATACTGTCTTGACAAGAACTATGGTTCTCTGTTTTTAGATATTGTGGAAAATGTTTTTTGACATTTTTCTCTGGTTTTATTTCTCTTCCCTCCCCTCCTCCCCTTTTCTAAAATGAAAAACACAAAACAAAAGCAAGAAGGAGAGAAGAAAAATGGAAATTTTATTATTAAATGCTGTATGAAAAAAGTCGCAGCCCAGATTGCTCAGCTGTCTGTACCTGACTTGCCGCCTGCGTAGGAGCCAGCCCTGTTCCTTACGATTAGCCTCTCTTCCTACAGGGGAGAACTTCCAAATGTTAATTTTTTTCTTTTTGAAAATATAAATAATTACTATTTTGTACTGTGTGGTATCTGTGGTCTTTTGTTTCATTTATCTGGCTTGTCTCTCGAGTCTGAGTTCCTTGCTTAAGGGATTTTGAAGGCCTGGTTTGATCCTTCATCTTGCAGGGATTATGTTTGAAATGTCTAATAAGCAGTAGGGATTGATTTATTTTCCATAATCTCATGTTTCCTTTGTGAGCCATCAGCATCTGCCAGTCTTTTGTCCTCTGTGAGTAGCCAACAGTCGCATCCTCAGGAGGGACCGTGCCCCTACCTCGGCCAAGTCAGACCCAGCCCCAGTCTCTCCTCTCTTCTAACTACATCTCAAAAGACCCAGGGGGCACAAGTGTGGAGATTGAACAGAGGGAAATTCCTGTCTGGGGGCCTGTCACTGACTTGCTGTGCTTCTGGCCGGGCTGACCGCAGGACTCGCATGCACTCCCCGGAGTGCCCTGGCAGCCTGTGGACGGCACTGGAGGGCAGCATGGTGTGCTGGAAAATGCGCTGCCATTTGACCTCAGAACCTCAACCTAGTTCACCTTCCATTTCCTCTCAGTGGGTTGAGCCTTTGCACTTCCCCCATCTCATTTATCTCACCGACCCTAGAGTGGACCTGATCTGTTCGCAGTACAGTCCCAGGCAGGATTCGCCAGAAAGTACACCACTGCCCTTCCCACTTTCCTCCTCAGTGTGTCTAGGGGGGTGCAGTTCTCCCCGAGTGCTGGCTGCTGTCCTGCACCTCCTGGGCCCTCGCTTTCCAGATTAGCACCAGACCCTGAGGTCGGGGCAGGCACAAGTCCCTGCTGCAGAACCGCACGCAGTGCAGCTCTCAGGTCCCAGCTGGCTTCATCTCCAGTGTTGTCCTTGAGCCCTTGAGTACCGGTGAGCTCGGTTGGGCAGGCCGTAGACGGCATCTGCCCATCGCATAGCTGGGAGAAGGTGAAACCCAGGGAAGGAGCATGCCTGAGGTCACAGCTATTGAGAGCCAGATCTTCTCACGTCGTATCCTGAGGATTACGTAACAAACTGGAGGAAGTTCCATTTCAGGAATGTTTAGGTACAAAATTGGAAGTGAAGCCTGCTTCCTCTGGGAATAGCAAGAACAAGGCTCTGGGAAGGCGCCTCAACTGGTCTGCTCTTGAGGGGCTCCAGGAGGTCGAGGCAGATTTGCTTTCCTCTTCCGGCACAGAACACTCTGGGTTGGAGACTGATGGTTCCAGGGGATGTGCCCTTGGGGAGGTAGCAGCCCTCGCGCCCGCCTCCGGGAGGACGGAGGATTTATGGAATTTCCAGTGTGGTTTTTACTATGGGTACAAAGCTGTTAGCATGCCAGGTACAGGTGAAGCTGCGGGACTCTCCCGCACGATATTATTTCTGGACATGTTTGTTTTTGTTTTAAATGATACAGCTGAAGCCATCTGGTTGTGACAGCATCAGAGCCCCAGCATACTGTTCATAAGCCTCCCCTGCCACCACCCCTTCCCTTAGCTCCCCTACATCTGAAATGCAATTCAACTCAATGCCACAATCTGGGGCGTGTGCTGTCACTGCAGAGACGTCCGTGCCAGTGGAACAGTTGGAGATGGCAATTCCACACGGATATGGCTTATTTATCAAAACAGTATTTCAGGCAGGCAGTTTCGCAGAACCTTTGCAGTTGTGTTTTCAGGTCCAAATAGAGTATCTGGCGGCGTCCGCATCTCCCCTCCTCCTCTGTCACCAGTTCCTCTACGAACCGGCCGTCCGCAGACACATTTCCCGCACTGTACGTGGAGACGAAGCCTCTCAGTGTTATTAGGTTGTTCGGTGTAAAGGCTCCGATGCCTTTACAGGTTTTGCAGATGTGGGCGGAGATGTTCCTCTCCTTTCACTGGAAAGGCTGCTGGCCTTTTAGCTCTTCCAGAGTTGTTGCTGCTGCCTGTTATTACCCTGCGGCCAGGGACATGAAGATCACTTCTTAGGCCAGGGCTTGACCACTCTGCGTTTGCTTTTCAGTTTGGTGTAACCCCATTGCAGAATCTCCATATTGCACGAGCTGTACGGATGAAAGGAAACAGCTTGTGTGTTTATGAGCAGAACAACAAACAGAGGGGGCGGGAGCTGCACTTTGAAAGCGACTCTTGCTTTGTTCTGGCCCTCCAACTCATAAAAGAACAGCTAAACTCCCCCAACGTGACTACATCGCATCCTTTGGTTTATCTTTGTCAAAGACGGATTCTTGGCTGGAGCCCAACCTTATTTTCCACAACTAATTATCTTTTTAATCAGCCTGGGCCCTGTGTGTTTCCTCTGTCTCATGACTTCTCGCTGAACTCTGCCCTCCGTCATTTACATTCCTTTCTGACGGCTCCCAGACTCATCTCGCATTCAGGTGAGTGTAGTTGGGCTGCTCTCTGTGTACGCGAGTGTGCAAGGTCGATGTGCTTTCCCCGCTCACGTCAGAGGTGACACTGCCACCATGGACCCTCTGACCCCGTGGGCGGGCACCTCGTGGAGCCCGTGACAGGAAATCAGGTGGAGGACGAGCCGGCTTCGGGCTAATGAGCTGGGAGAACCAGACGTGTTGACCTCCAGATGAGAACAGAAACTTGAATGTTGTTGACCGATGGGATCTTGATGCCGCTGAACCATTAGTGAGATGATTGCTGCCCCCCGCAAACCCTGTAATGCTAGCGCAGGAAGCGGCATCTGGAGCACTGTTTGATGCTGATTTCTGCAGCTCTAACAAAAAAGTTTCAGACTTGAGGGAATTCAGTGCAAGCAACAGAAATGATTAAGGAGTTGAAGGGGATCAACTTGAGGGGAAAGCATTATGAAGATAAAGTACGCGTCACTCCAGTACAGGAACGTAGCACCCGTACCTGCAGTTGACAGATGTCACAGCGTTCTAAACACTTGCCACTGGTGCAGCTCCTGTCTGTTCCCGTTGTGTGGCTTGGGAAGGTGGGCGTAGGACTCCCTCAAGGTCACTGTCTGGGCCAGAGCGAGAGACAGCAGGCAGCAAAGCATTCTGCTTTGGGGCTTCGGCCCAAGGGAAAGTGGAGATCCAGGAGTTCCTATGGCAAAGATGTGGACTTGTCTGCTCTTCCTGACACTCAGGTGAAACCGGGAGAGCCTCTCCGGACCCTTAAAGATGAGTTCCACACAAACTGAAGGAGGAGGAGCACCCCACACAGTTCACCTTTGTTGATGTCCAAGTAGGGTGACGTGCTCAGTGTCCTCAAGATTAAAACTCAAGCCACGGATTGAGTGAACATGTACCGATCATCTCAGGAACCCTGACATGGTGTAAGGCGAGGTCTGGGGTAAGGTTATTGCTTTACTTAGTCCTACACTGGTGTGCTGCGCACTCTGTAATCCCAGCACTCAGGAGGCTGAGGCAGGAGGATCAAGAGTTTGAGGCCAGTCTGGGCAGTTCATCAAGCCCCTGTCTCAAGAACGACAAACATAAACCTCAGCCTTACAGAGGAGGCAGAAAAACCAGCTAGGCCACAGAACTGAGGCCTTGGTTAAAGCTGTTAAACTTGGCAGTAAGGAGATCAGTGGTTAGCGTAAAGAATTTCCAGTCAGATGGTGGAGGCAGAAGCCAAGACAGATAAGGACATAAACAAAACCTCTGGGTTTTAACTTAGAAGTTTGTCTCAGTCTCGTTCGTCAATACATTTGCTTTTGTCTAAAAGGATGAGGTACAGGTTATTCCGTAAATGATGGACACATTCGTGGAGCCTAGTGACAGCCATGCGTGGCGAATCAGTACATTTTTAAATGGAGAAACTAACATCCACCTTCAACCCTTGCACTATTTTGAGAATGATTTTCCTAAAGATACGCTCCTATACTTCTTGAGGCTGTCTGTGTGCCACGTGAGAGTTTGCTTCCCACTTACGATGTTCTCAGAGGTCGGGGGTTAGGCTTGGTGAGGAGCTACGAGAGGCAAACCCTTCCGCCCCAGTGTGGAAGCTCCGAGCGGGCGCCGCTGCCAGTTCCCGTGGTGGAAATGCCCCCGAGGCGAGCTCACCCAGCGGGAGCTGCGCAGAGGCGCGCGGGCACTGCTACCGGGACCTTGGCCGTTTGTGCACAGTACCACGCATCACCGCCTGGGCACAGGTACAGGAGCACACAAGGAAGAGATTCATTTTGAGCCCTCACTATCTTGGCTAATTACATGGTGATGCAGTTTAATTTTTAATAATGGCTGGTTAACAACCAGCTCTCAAAAATTCCTGAAAATCGAGCAGTTGGCTAGAGCGCCAGTGTGAGGCGGCTGCCGCGCGCCGCGGGGGTGGTTTGGGATTTATCCCCTCGTCTCTGTGCCTCGCTGCTTCCCGCCACCCCTCAGCGCTTTAAAATGCACCCTGTAGCTCATGGCAAAATGAAGTACTGCCTTTTACTCATCTGCAGGTACACTGACGTTGACACATGAACCGGTAGTCATATTACACATTTTAATCTCTCTGGGTAAATTAGCACATTTTTATTCCTGTCGTTTCCAGTGTTGGAAGTGTGTCTTTATGGGGAGGGACCCTAATGAAAGCAGGCCTTACAGGAAAGCCATCAGCATGACCCACAGTCACTGCAGGGCGGTCTCCACGATGCGTCCTCCTGCCCCGTTACCTCGGAACGGGCCTTGAGTAAAGAAAGAAAAGCCCCTTTCTCTTGTTTGTTGGCTTTTCGGTTGTTTTTGGAGTTTGGCGCCCTGGGGCTTCAGCCCAGGGTTTCACGCATGCTAGGCAAGTGCTCTGCCACTGAGCTCCGCGCCCAGCCCTGGAAGAGGAGAGCGCCGGGTGTGGCCAGCACGCCAAAGGGTGACCGGGGTCCCTCACTCCACCAAAGCTGAAGAATCTCCTGCCTTGCCTGGACCTATAAGAATGAGTTTTTAAAGCCTTCTGTTTCCTTCACTGATAGTTCACCAGCAACAGTGTGCCAAGGACCCGAGCTGCTTTTCAGGGACACAGCAGGGAGCGAAACGGGCTGCTCTTACCGTCCTGGGCACTCGGAGTCCGATGGAAGTGTGCTTAACAACC